GCAATGCATTTCATTCAGGATCTAAGACTGCAAAGAAACGACACTAACTAATGATGCCGATAGAAGTCGAAGCAGGCACTGCTCTCTAGAAGCACATTATAGATGAGTACTGCATGATCATAAATTGTTGATGTTAGGTTATTTCTCACACATCATCTGTCATTTAATGTACACAAACACATAGACATGACCAATAACACAAGCCCTTGTGTGACACTAGTGCTCAGAAGTTTAAGTTAATTATGACTTTGAGAAGAACAATTAGTCATTGTGGTTTTAACCCCAGAGCAGATCAGTCTGCAGGAATATGCACCATATTGTAATGAGTTTACTGGATTATGCATGTATTGAATTTACTATATTTATTCATTTATTAGCCCTGCTTGTGATTTAGCTCTAGTGGTAGTGATTAGGCTGGTTGGTCAGTACAACAATTGTGTCAAAAGAACATATCTTAACAATTACCAGATGGTTTACAATTACATGTGGCACACTTACTACTGTAGAGTCCACATTTCCACATAAATAAAAACAGAAGACTGTATTAGCTCTTTGTTCTGAACACGAATTGTACATCAAAAAGCATGGACTTATCAACATTCAACTTCAAGAGTCAAATATTCCCCTTTAAAGTGTTCTTCAGGAACTATGATGTGATATTCATGCAGTTTAAAAAAGACCAGCATAGGCACTTCGAGCTGTTTTTGACCGCTGACTTGAAACAGCATATATCGACAGTTTAGACAGTTTAGACTTAGACTCGATTTTTTGTATGGTTTGCAAACAGGGGTTTCTAAAGAAGTGGATTGACGTTTTTTAACATCTCTATCAGCAAAGTAGGAGCAGGCAAGAAAACAAAGTGCGGCCTGGGTGAAAGGATTAAGGGAAGAAGAGGGCCCAGAGCAAAGTGCTGCTGCCGGTCTGATAAGTTTCCTGAGGAGGCCGATACACATTGGAATTTGGCAAACATCAAACCATTACTGCATGCAGAGGGAATAAGCAAAAGTAGACAATTTGTTTTTGTTAAACTGTAACTAAAAACATGCAGTAGCAAAGACCGTGGCTAGAACCCTTCTGTTTGTAAAGCTACAACACACATCAGCTACAGACACTTTATATGGTTGCTGAGCTTCTTTAGCCGGCTATCTAAGTGAGATTATGAGGCATTACACATGATAGAGATGCTAAAGTTTCACCTCCAACCTGAAGCAGCGACAGCTCTTTATCCAGGTCCCTTTTAGAATCAGATCACTGACAACCTCTGGAGGACCCTATTGAAACTAAATTAATTAACATTAATAACATGATTATATATTTGGCCAATTCATTGCATTTTAAGGGCATAAAGCTGCATTCAAATTTAATTTAAACTTGGCACCAAAAAGACATGGTGAAAGTTTAAATGATGGGTTTTGCATGGGCGTGGTACAAAAGCAGATTGGCGAATTTCAAATGATTCATCATTTGATTGGCCCATTGTAACAAGGCATTTGATTGGAGGATTGAATGTTTGTATTTGATTAGATCAAGCCATTTGTTTAGTACATTGTAACAAGTAATTTGATTGGCCCATTGACAATATATTACACAATCCAATGGGTTTATCAAATCAAATTCAAATCGGGTGATAACAGATCGTGAAGAAGTGACTCTTTAATTCTTTAAAGGTTTTTCAAAAATAAGTAATGGTTTCTGCTGTTGATTTCACTTATAGTATTCTGTTTTTTGTTTGATGTATATATGTCACACTGTAGGACTGCGGGAAACGATATTTCGATATTTCTGGATGTACAACATGTAGAATTCTTGACAATAAAGCTGACTTTGACTTTGTTTACCCTTACACTTTTTTAAATATGGCAGCTATTTTAGAAAGTTTTAGAAAGTGTGTAGGCTTGATTGGCGTGTGTTGGTCAATCACACAGATGTGGTTGCTTCCCCCTTACTCACCCATAACAACACGGCTCACAAATGAAAATCCATAATGCTTTGTTGTTTTTTTCAAACTCCTAATTGTGGGAAATGCAATATTGTTTACTTGTACCGTAGTATACAGTGCCCAGTCATAGTGGGAAGACAAATTGGCAAGTGAAAAAGGACTTCATAAATGTTGATATCTCAATGGGCTAAGGTTTTGCTTTCAAATGCACAATTTTACCATGCTGGCTATTCTCGTTCCATATTTTGTCACTGTCTTGTCAAACATGCTAATGAAATTGAAATGGCAAAAAAAAGGCATGTCAGAAAGTAGTGGTAAAAAAAAATGCTAAAGTGATCTTTTAAAAGTTGACCCTGAGATACATTAGTGGCCGATAAGTGTTATTTTTTTGTGTGTGGATATGAGACTGCTGCCCGAGTGGCTGACACACATAGGCTTAGAGTACTTGTGTCTGAGCATCAATAATATAAATTTATATCACCATTTGGCCTGTCACAAGGCTTTTACTGAAGCTAAAAATCATAAACACATTTACTCTTTAATCAATATCATAAAAAATATGGTGCAGCAATGAGTGTTCCTTTTCTCCTGAGACATGGGTGCCAAACACGTTAATACAGCTTGAACATAATTTATGGGTTGAGAGGCGCCACTACACCACTTGAACAGTGCTCAATTGATTGAAAAGGCTGGGGGAAAATAACATGTTCTGCAATGCTTATAATGAGATGCCCTGCGCAGCGACTGATAATGTGTTGCAGAAAAGACTGCTAATGGCTGTATTGTTGTAGACTAAAAGGATCAAAAACAGTGATCTTCTCCATCCTGGCAACATACAGGTTTACCATTTCAATGTGTATGACAAACATGAGTTGGAGTATTTTGAAGCAGTTCAAATGCATACAGGGTGCAAAACATATGAAGAAAAACATTCTACAATCACTACAATCACTACAAATAGGAGTGGCTAATTTCCGTGCCAGAAATAGAAGTTGATACCAATATGGTTTTGGAGGAAGATGATTATTTTGCTTGTGAATTTGCTTTGCTTAATTAGCATATTGTAATTTAAAGAGTTTTTACTGTTTGTTCGATCATACATTTTGGACAATGCCAGAGTTACTTGCACTGGTCTGGAACTATTGTGTGATATTTATGCAGTTTGTCAGGTCCCATCTTCTGGGGTTCAAAGTAGACTGGGGTATAGTCTACATAGTTTATCCTTGTTACTGTTATTGCATTTATTGTTACCTATACATTCTGTGTATCCTTGTGGCTAACAAACACTGACAATCCAAGATATAACATGTGCAAAGCTTTTTTTTTATTAAACTATAATACATCCACTCAAGTATTGTACCATTTCTGACCACTATCAATAATGGGCTAACCTTCAGCTAAAACACACAAAGCATGTAAAAAAAGGGGCCAGCTGTGGCTCAATCTCCTACAGAGGTTACGGTACTTGGACGTAGCCGCCATTACTCTGCAGCTTTTACATGTGCAAATTAGAGAGCAACCTTGCCTATTTGTTGTGGCTCGGTATGTGGGGGTGGGGGCTCTCAGAGACTAACAAGGCCAAGTTGCAGAGGGTCATTAGCCTGGAGCATAGCTTTGTGGGGAGCCGTGGTCAGCCCTGCAGCATCTCTATGAGCAGAGGATGGTGGGAAACTCAAGGTAAATCACTATGGACTCATAACCTCAGCACCTGCTTACAGACCCTGCCCTCTGGCTGTATGATATGCTGCCCCTTTATCAAAACAAACAGGGGCAGGGGCAGCTTCAACCTCTCTGCTATTGGCTACTTAACAATGACACATTGTGCTAACATGACCCATGCAGGCACACACATAGTATATTGGCATAATTATAAGAAGGCATGGAGCTTAATGTATTTCCCTTAAGGACTTACCTATACATTTAAATCTGATATTTGCAAGCAATCGAGATATTGAGATAAATATAATATACATTAGGGACTTTATGTTATAATTAATTTCTGTATTTCTTTTAGACCCCAATCATGTCAGGTCAATTCGACAGGAACAATACAAAAATGTGAACATAAACAAGGGTTAAACTACACAATAATGTGATTTAGCTACACTTCAACATAATATAATTATCTCAAATTGGGCATTTTCAGCATTACAAGTGTATTTTCCTTGACACATGCTGCTGATAAACCATCTGTACTTTTGGTTAAGTAGGATTATTCTTTGTCTTGTTTGGCTGCACATCGCATATTGATGAACTTTGCTAGCTGATGGGTAGTACATATTAATATAAATGCATAATGCCATGAATATTGGAATGCACACAGTTGGTCAAGCTCTGCGAGGGCTGAATCATTTAGGAGAGGTTTTAACATTGCTTAAACACAATCATTTGTTACAGTTGATTCCTCAGACAAAAACAGCAATTAAAGAACAACTAAAATATCACTTTTATTTGTTCAAGGAGGAGGATTTTGAAATGTGAGCTTGTCATGTTAATTTTACAGGCTGGTGTTATTTCTTTCACAAAAGGTTTAACAAGAATTCCTCATTAACCAGAACATGGAGAATCTGGGCAGTGTGAGCGCAGCGGAAAATAATATTTTTTTGTTTTTGCTATATTTCTTTTTTTTCTATTCAAATAAGCCTGCAGCATATTTCACAGCACAGTGTTTTGAAGGAGTGCAGTGGTGGGAGCAATGGATGGTGTCAGCAGAGGGAGCTTGTTAGCAGAACAACATCTCTGGCTTTCATGAGAAAACCGTATGCAGACTGGGGGCAGGCTGTGTTCGGATCTACAGGCATCGTGAGGTCCTGCAACAAATGCACTCGCCTGATGAGCCCACCATGTCCATGGAAACGGCAAGAGCCCTGTTACACAACAGTGCTATTTTTACTGAAGTGATTAACCAGATCACAAAAAAATGTTGTGCGTGTACATTTTTTATGACATATGAAAAACTGTACTTTATTTGCTTGAAACTAAAATGTGGATTCATAAACTAAGATTGCATTTGTTTTGCATTGCATTTAAAATAAGAGCATGAAAAAAATAAATCAAAATGGAAAGTTGGTTTACATTTTATTTATTCAGATTGTTTAAAGCTTGAAAACATTTTTCGGGAAAGCAGTAAGTCTGGACTGCGACCCGGATTCAATATGCAGAAGATGGAAGGATGGATTTTTTTAAAAGGTAAAGGAAAAATAATTTAGGCTCACAATCTACATCCCTTCAGTTTTTATAGATTAAAGCAAAGGCATTTAATCACCATCATAGATCAATTGAGATGCATAATACTGTATATTATGGCCTGACATGCACCAGGACCATGATTGCAGTGCAGACAAACTTGAATAGGAAATCATTTGAACCTGAAGACCTTTATTTGCCCGCTGCTCATTCAAGAGTTGTCCCATAGTGCTTTTCAGCGTACCTCCGGGTGCTTCTGGATCACAGGCATTCAATCTCCTTCACTCCTGGATCTGCCATTACCATCACATCTGAAGCAGGCTGGCGTGAAAGGCAAATGATTACAATAAACTCTCCTGATTGAACTTCACTGACCTTTCTTCAACAAATGTCTCTTTAAAAAGCGCCAGTGAATGTCAAATTATTCCCATTCTTCTGTCGGGAGGGCAGAAGGGTCCAGTCCACACTGCTTCATCTGGACGGCGATGTCGAACAGGTAGTCGTAGCATTCACACCTGCAAAATAGAGCAGTATTGTTAGAGTTGGAAGATAAAAATACAGTGTAAAGAATTTAAATCAGTTTTTTCTTTGTTACACTTGCCCTCGAAACAAATACTATATATTCTAAGTCATAAACCAGGCCAAAGAACTTAATCGTGCTGGGAGGGAAATGCTCACATGGTCTTGGCTTTTTCCCACGACTCGCCCCAGACATAAACGCCGTGTCGACGGACGAGGACAGCACATGAGTCGGGGTATTCCTCCATTGCCCTGGCCATCCGGTCCTTTAAGTCTTTTTCCTCCGGTGTATTTTCAACAATAGGCACAACCAGGCTGTCATCATATCTGTGTATATGCAGGGTACAAAATGACAAATTACACCCAGGCTGATAACTTTCTCAGGCCATAACTTTACATCACAGTACTGTCAGATAGAGGCTGCCTGTTCTCATAGACTGACACCGCTGTCTGTCGTACAGCCACTCTTATTTGGGGGCAATCAAATCAAAGTGATACAATAAATCCCACTCTGTACTGAAACTGGTTTATCAATCAATCCATTTTATTAGTCACATTAATCGTTCGAGGTACAACTCCAATAAAAAGCAATCCTGTCAGCTCCTTTAATGTGTGTATCATATGCCACACCTCCTCCTTTTTCCTGCCAGAGTCGTTTGCTCTGTCTGATCAGGACACAGAAAAAGAGTCATCTAGCCAAGTTTTCCAAAAAACAAAGTTTCTGTTCCGTTGGAGATCGCTTTGGGCGTGGTGGCTGTACAGCAAATAACCCAACTTGCAGCTGGTGTCAAATTCCACGGTGCCACCTTCAATGATCTTGCTTGTTGAATTAGTTGGAATCGGGACTGCTGCGTATCTTCGCCACCTTTGATTACTCAGATGTTTACATTTGGACCCTTTTCACGGTATAATTATTAGCCTGTGATGGCGGTAAAGGCACAGGTGTTTCTACGCAACATTAATTTGTCTTTGGCTCTTTTTCTGCTGTAACAACGTGCATTTCCCATTTGTGGGACAAATAAAGGTATTCTGATAGATATTAACTAAATTAACATTGGATCCATTCCATGAACTGTCAGTGAGTGACAATGGCTCACTCAAATGGAATGCAAACACCATTAATGGGTCAATGCCATCTCTGCTTTGGTGAGTCAAACATTTCTGCCGTTGAAAACCGCTGCCAATCACGTAGCAGAGATGCACGAATTGTAGTCATGTGTGACCATAGTTTCAACCACAAACAGTTTTTTTAAATAGACGAAAGGTATCATCAAACGCAAAAGGAAAGTCATCAAACACTATCTTCTTTGTTGCAGTGTGCTCAGGCTGCAGGCAGTCGACTTATCAACGAGATCATCAGGAAGTTTGGCTCTTTCCTGAGAAGGAAGCTTCATTATTTGGAAGTGGTGTCAGAGAGGAGGAGGAGTCTCCAGAAGCTCAGCTCTGTTTTTTCAAAAGTACCTCTTTACAGTTTCTCCGTGGATGAAATCTCATCAAAGTTTCTGACAACATGGTACTTAACGTGCAATAGCATTGACCAGAGTTATTGAACATATTGAATTACCATCTACATTTACCAATTCTAAGATTTAGTCTGTATATACGTAGCTTTATATATGCTTGCATTAACCTTACTGACATTGTGCATCCTACCAATATTTCATGTATTTTTACACTCCTTATCGTTGACTGTTTTGACAAGCTATGATTTCTACTGCCAAGATACCTTCACAAGGAGGACTTAACAAACACACTTGACTGAGAAATGAGGATGCTTCGAAACTTTTTGGACTACACTAATCCTTCTGCTTGATTACATACCGATAGTTGGTGCCTGAGGTGCCCTTACGAATCCCCTTGATCATCTCCTGGTGTGTTATCCTGAACTCTTTGCCGGGATACAGCAGTGTTGCCATGACAGCAGCCTTGGAGTGGGTGTGTATTACTGCCTGTGCCCCTGTATTTTAGCAAAGGAAAAGCAGATTTTTGAATTCTGAGTGTTGCCTACTGGTAAGGTCTTTCTAAAATATCAATTTGTACACAGAAAGACCACCCACAGAGATGATCACACATCCATGTGCACTACGCTTTGAGATTTGCTTTTTGGGTTTTAATTGTTTTTCTAGTTTTGGAGGTTTATTATCGGCTAAGGAGGATAACTGCACTTTGACCTGGTGTTCCAGTTTAGAGGGGGAGAGGTTTTCCATTAAAATGTTGGCCTGTAACAATGCCTTTATTAAACAACTGTATTATATGAGTAGAACCTTGTCTGCTTTTAAAATATTATTTCCTGGCATTGTATCCAAACCAATATTTCTACATATCAGATTCTATACTTTACCATTACATCCTTTGATCCTTAGTTAAAGGAGAGGTGTCATGGCCATTTCCACTGATCATAATTCCATTGTTGAGGTATACTAGAATAGATTTATACTTTGCATTTTTCCAAACTCACATTGGTTTCTCATACAGCATCTCTGTAAACTACTTGTATTCACTGAATTTCACTCTCTGCCTTTAACGGCTCGTTGTAGCTCCAATAGCTCCAGCCCCCACCCTCCCTGTGAGCACAGTGTGCTCTGATTGGTCGGGACGTTGTGAATCGCGCTGAGCTCCGTGGAGGTGTTGTTTCCTTGTTTAGGATACATAGCGAAACACAGCCAAACTCATCCTGAGCACACACAAAGTCACAGCTGAAGTAAAAACAATAAGTGTGGCTTGATATTGAGTAAGAAAAAGGTTGATAAACGCTGTGAGAATGGGTCTGCAGAGAGAATTTCGCCGCGATCCCAACTGTCTGTTATCAGCCTGCAGCCAGGGAGGAGAAATCAGCAGAGAGTGTGTGTGTGTGAGGAAGTCCGTGGATTGGTCAATTTGGACCAATCAGCGGGGGCTTAACGTAACGGCTTCGCGGACGTAACGTAACGGTTCCACGGATTGGTCCATTTTGTTCCGGGTACGGCATGACATCATGCCGTACCCGGAAGAATCAAATGGACAATGACGTATCTCCAGCGAGGCGTTTTGGGGAGGTATTTTCTGTGTTAGAGTTTTACTCGCTATAGGGTGTACTTTTAGGGTTTTGACTCTGCACACCGTTTACATGCATAAAAACCTTCATAATACACAAGGGGACGGGTAATAACCGGAAAAGCATGACACCTCTCCTTTAAGAAAAAAGAAGATCAGAAGGGAAATGTCTGTCTATTATGGATTTTAAAATGTTTGTTTTCATAGCTATTTGTTACAGGTTTTTTATGACAAAATACTGTACTGGTTTGAATAGAACATAATCACAACATTCAGGAACATCCAGTTATTATTCAATTAAGCGTAATGAGTATCATTAACTCCATTAAAAATCAAAGTTGTTATTCAGGTTACTAATTCATTAGATCACAGTCTGTTACAGTGGTATGTATGGTATGAAGGTATTATTGACTCACCTCTCATTATGTAAGCATTCATAAAAAGCGGTGTGCACTGGCTCTTCCTTAAATTCTTCCAGGCAGGTGGACAGCTGATGTCCCTCTCTTCCATGTCACACACAAACATGTCTTCTGGCTAAGTGACAGAAAGAAAAAAGTATTTTACACAAACATCAGTATCTGAATCAATCTTATTATTTATATTTGTACTTAGCAAGACATTATTTCACACTGAGGTTATACCTGTATTCTCTCTTTCTGGACGCCTGATGGTGCAACGTAGATCTGCTCTCTGTGGGTTATACAACAAACATTACAGTTTATATAAATAGCAAGCTGAAGGCCAGGAGAATAAAGTAGATATTGAAATTGCTTTAGTTTGTCATAACATAATGGACCACCATGGCCTTGTGCTGCACACAAATAACTGAACTGTTTGTGTTTAGGAGAATGTTATGGTGACAAGGTTCAGCTCCAATGTCAATAATGTTTCAGTGACTATCTGATTAGTCATCCCTTATTACAAAATTAGTCATTGTCAGAGAATGTGTCGCTATACAGATTGGATCATAAAACATGAGAAGATCTTTTTAAGAAAATCTACTGAGCATCAGCTCAAAATGTTTCATGGTTCTATTTTTGCAAAAATATTGATAGCCTATGTTTCCCCGTAGAAAGAAGAAGAGAAGCTATGTACTTTTCTTCAGTGAGCAACATACAGCAGATAAAGGAGAAGCGTATTGATTTTCTTTGAGAGGCCGCATCAGGCTCTGAATCATTTCTGAGTCTAACAGGAACACAAAAAGACCTTTCAAAACTTAGAATTTAGACATGCACTGAGAAAATAAAAATACTCATTAGAATATTTGTTTAAAATCTTGAAAAGGATTAATAAGTAGTCAAATATGACGGAAAGTTCTCTCGTGAATCTTTTTAGAGTTACAATATTTTCCGGTCAAAGTGAAATACCAGGGCAGATGAGCAGCAGTCACTAAATCTAATTTGTTTTCATATGGAGTTTGTCAAATTCCACATGTCAAACAACTATGAGCTGACGGGTTGCGCTTTATGTGGAGCTGCCATCCAAAACAACACAGTTCAAAGATGTTTGTAATAACCTGTCAAAGCCATCCGTTTGAATTCTGTTCCATGATGGCAAAACCGTGTACTTTACACCGAATTTGTACACATTGTCAAAACAGATGCAACAGACCTTACATCAGCCGCGCTGCACCTTTATGAACATTTAAATGTACAAAAAAACATCTACTAAAACAAATTCAGTTTTTGGCATGATTGTCAAAATATGCAAACAGGTTCAAGGAAGGTGTGTGATCTTCTGATCCTATACAATGTTCTGCAAGAAATTGAACCAGAAACCAACCCTCGTCTCAGGCTGATGCCGCCGCCCGTCCCCGTCACCCATCCCAGCTGGTAGAAGAGTCGGCACAACTCCGGGATGAGAAGACGAGGATGCTCCTTCTCCTGGAACAGACGCAACGCTGTCAACTAGGTATATCCTGCTCGAGTTTAACAACTTTAACATGATCAGAGTGAATAAAAGTCAATAAACTTGAAATGCACACGGTTGAATGTAAAAGCAGAGTGTTTCTGATACTGATGTTAGCGCTCTATTAGTAAAAATATCAAAACAAACAATACAGTCAATCGATCCAACTAGAAAGTATTGCCTTTACAGCCAGAGTCAGATCATTTGTCTATGCCATAGAGCTCCATTGTCCGAAAAATATAAAAACATCAATAGCCCCACCATTGAAGTCGGTGGCATGTTCCTTAAATACCACGAGCACACACAGTAGAAGTTTTGACTCACCCCACATGCTTGAACACACTATTGTCCCTTCAGATGTGCAGGACAGTTTACACAGCCCTAAACTGAAAGTCGCGGGCCAAAATGACACACTTTGTTTGCAAAATGCTCTAACACTCAAATTATTAAACTAGATTGTGATGTGCCAACAAAGGCAAAGAAGCGCATCACAGCATGAACTGATTCTTCTCTCCTAGATTACTTGACATAGATAACAAAACCCGCTGCACTCTGCACTTGATGAGATTGCCTGCTGAAAGGGTTCTTCTTTCATTTAGCTGTATTCATGTGTGCAGGTCTAGATTCGACAAATTGGGCATCCATTAAGGCACAGCTTAAATGCTGTGCCTTAATGGATGTAGAAGGACTGATTGCTGATTTGGGAGTTGTCATGGAGTTTCACACAGGTAGGTTAAAGACGCTACATCAGCTTACATTATGCAAGACAATTGTATCTGGAGTGAATAGATTTGATTCCTTTTGTTCACAGATAATCCTACAGAGAGTTAGGTTTTCCTAAAAGGTTCGTTAATTGTTTGGAAAAATTGTATGAAAAATATGTGAAAAAGGGTAAACACATTAGCATGAGTACTTCAGCTGTGCTCAGAAAGTGATAATGAAGATGAGTGGATCACAGTCTCAGTAAATAAGCATGTTTTAGCAATCAAGAAAAACGGTAATCCACAGCTTAAAATGGTCACTAACTAACACCACTTACTAACAGGCTTGAAACTATGTGCCTTAAACAAGGAATGGAAGTCAGACAAATATTGAGGGACAGACTAACGCATTGCTGGTTTCTGCTGGGAAATAAAACAAATATAAAACACATGCAGCCATAATTTAAATGTGTTAATGCACTGTGTTTTTGAGACTTTCTCCTCAGATTCTTGTGAATTTCTACAACTGCACCAACTGAGAGTGTCTTCCGCGGCTGCATCAGGGTAAAGTATGGCACCTGCTCTGTCTGGGAGGCGCTACAGGACTCTCCTTCCCCTCAGCTGCCACCTTGCTGAACTCTGAATCAATCAAGGTAATAGTAACCCCCCCCCCCTCCTTCCCTAGCCCCAGATAACCCCCCTCACAGCTCCCGCCAGTGCCTGCACATTGGCACTACGACTGGCTCTGGCTGCTACAGCATGCTTTTTACTGCTGCACTACTGTACATACACCTGCCTGTTGTCTATATGCATTTACAAACCTATTCGCATACTTATATAGCTATATCTACATTGTACTATATATTGTGTCATGTCATACTTTTGATATTATGCTTTTGTCCAGCTCTTTTGTATATAAGTATGTTTTGCCTACCTACTTCTTAGCATATAACTCAGTTTTTAATGCCCATACTATTAATACTGGATAGATTGTAGCGTATTAATAGCCATTACCTAAATAGCTATTCTACATTTTATACCTATTTATTTTCTTACCGTTTACACAGTTTATTACTTTGCCTTTATTCTCAGTTATTTGCATTTCTGAATAGATGCTTAACTGTCTTTCGTTGTCTCAGAATGTGTAGATAACGTAACGTACGTGATTACTGCTACTGGGAACTGAGTTAAAATGTCTAACTGTGGCAGACTTATGTAATTTAAGTTCATTTGTGTTACATAACATTGTGTGATGTGTTGATGTGTTGTGCTTACCTGTTTCTCAGCTGGCTGTTGACCTGCATCTTGGCAACTGTTGCTGGTGCCACACAAAGACGACATCTCCTGTGAGAAAACATTGACAACATGATTCATTCATGGGGGAAATCGGATGCAGATGAGATAATAGAGGCAAGAACAAAAGAGAAATTATTTACGGCTCTCACTAAATTCTTCTCATTCCTTTACCTCCTACACGTCAGTTGAGGACAAGCCACAGATTATTTTGATGGGAGTAAAGATAGGCAGGCTCAAAAACCTCAGATGCCACTATTGATTTGAATTTCTATTAAAATGCAAGAGTACTCAAAGGAAAAACCTTTAAGCTATGGCTTTTTTCCAATAAGTTAAAAGCAAATGGGGACTTGACTGTGGATTTGATAGTAACATTTACAAAGAAAAGGCTAATGATGTATGGTGTGGGTGACTAATAAAGCATACAGGATTAAAAATGCCTTAATACAAACAAAAATAAACAAATGAAGTGAATACGTTTTTCTGTAGTATTCAGTTTTTATGTAAGCATTAACTCAGTTATGATTAAATTAATAAAAACTATTATTTAGTTACGAGTCTTTCATTTTGTGTTTTGTTTTTCATTGTGAAATTAAACTTTTAAATCAAAAACGCATATTGCCTTTTAGCATTTCGCCCTGCCGACATTAAATGCAAAGAACTCTTATCAGTTTTCATAAGGACATGTAAGGTACTTATTCCTTTTATTTTTAGACACATTGTTGATGCCAAAATGAAAAAACACTCAACTCATTGATGCTTCTGTCAAAGGGTAAAAAAGGGTTACTTTTCTTTTTCTTACAATGCTTCTGCAATAAAGTATAAAGTTGGCGGTGTGCGAGTCGGGTATAGTTTGTTACTTAACACAGTTTCTCTTTTTGGGTGTGGCAGATTTGATTCGATTTTTGGTTGTTTCACGAACCGATTGAGCTGCAGACTGCCGTACAAACAAACACCTTAAGGGACCCTCGCGGCTCAGTAACTGCTGACAGCTATTTAATGACAGTTAGAATCTGTTGGCCCACAGTAAACACTGACTTGTTTGATGTTGAAGGGAAAGCTATTGTAATTGTTATTAGATGTCTGGAAGCTAGTAATAATACAAATAATGAGCTTTATATTAGGGCTGTGCAATTAATCGTATTTGAATCGCAATTACGATTTTGGACTGCTACAATTACGAAAACAACATAATCGAAATAAATGATTATTTTGCTTTGCTAAGTTGTGACAGTGCACTGCAACATATTTGATCTAATTTATTTTTATTTATCATATTTATATATGTTTAGTAGCTTGTTGAAGTGCGCTCCAAAATATTTGTTGATCTTGTTTATTGGTATTTATTATTTTGATATTATTTTTTTTAATTTAAATATAAATGTATCATTTATTTTTGTATTGGTTTTTCAGTTGAATTATACGCTCAGGGTGATCAATTTGGATACTGTTCAAATTATTATTTGTATTTGTTTTAAAGTTCAATGAATGGATGTTTTCAAAGTCAATGAATGATCGTATTTAATAATCGTGATATCAATTATTGACCAAAATAATCGTGATATCAATTATTGCCATAATCGAGCAGCCCTACTTTATATGTATAAGTGTAGTGCTTCAAAGTAGACAGTTGAAATCTCTTAAAATACTCACATAAAATGTATATCACATATAATACAGTTACCAGTCAAATATATAGAAACAAACTTAAAATAGCATAGAATATTATTTATAAAAAATAAATGGTGATTACAGGTACAACAATGAAATTGTGCATTAAAAGGAGGATAATGCAAATACAACACAAAATCAGGTGACATATATCCTTTTGTCTGAAAGTTATTTATTTATTTGGTATAATGTATTACATGTTGTGCTCTCATCTAAGGTAAGAACATAATGCAAAATATATTTTAAATTAATGATTTCTGTTATGATAGGAATTTGACGTGGAATGGAAAATGTATGTCACAAGTCAAAAGACAAATCATTTATGTTTTTCATTCAATTATTACGCAGGAATTTCATAAATACAAATAAAATGTAACAATATTAAGCATATTTGAATTAATTGTATTTGTTTGTTTTATTCATGAATTTAGAATATTTCATCTGAAAGATTTTGAGTATGTTAAGCATTTGGATTGTCAGTGTTGGGTTGGGACATTTTCTTTTTACTGACACCCTACGGACTGAACTAACAGTTGAGAAAATAATAAGCTGATTACTTGAGATACAATACTATTTGGCAGACAACTCAATTATGCAGCAAAGTTTGCATTTGGTTACATTATATATACAAATATTTGTACAGACTACATTTAGGGAGCACAGCTTTAAACAGTTTGTACTTCTTGTTAATGACAATCATGTGGAAGATGTTTTGTATAATGAAATCCTTTTTCTGCTACAAATTCAACTATAAGTTCACACACCAACTTAGATGAGCAATACTGAGTCATGAGCAGAGTATTCACATTTTGATGCAATTAAAGACTACTATTTTTTTCTCGTTTTCACAAGGTTGTATTGGTGCCGAGTCAGAATAAAAACCCTGCAATTTATATCAGTTTTTAGCTGATTAGATCCAATTTACTAAATGCACTTCAACAAACAGAAAACTTGATACAATTTATCGTTTTAAGAGTTTTTATTTTGGTGTTTGTTTATCTTATCCTTTTACGGACACATTACCTATTTTCTTGTGAAAAAAAAAAGTACTAGGCATCCACAATAACTACACAATCACAACTACTACAGACTGAATTATGCAACTGTGAATTGGAACAACAACACAATGGGTAATTTCATTTTAATAAGGCTTAATGGGCTTATTTTTCAAATTGTGGGTTTAAGAAGAAACTCGCATATCAGATCATATAATCCATTAAATTCCACAAACAGAATAGGTTAATTCCTTTGTAGGTATTATTAAAAAATAATAGGTCACATAGGGCAAACATGCAGGCGTTGACAACCACTGACCATGCTTACTTGTAACATTAGAGTTACACTGGCAGTGTTTCATAAAATCAACTTACACAATTCAATGATGACATAGGCTATAGCATATGTATTTACCTGAAGGGAAACACAAAGCCAGTTTGATGTTTAGATAATTTAGTAACGTTACTTGTGTTACCAAACGTTAGCCTACTCACTAAGTTTGAGAAGTATTTTGCCTACTCAAATAATGTTAAATATGGCTTACCAAAAGGCTGGACAGCACTCCTTAACGTTAATTATGTCTCGTTTTTGTAGCATCAATAGGTTAAGTTGTTACCGCATTTAAGACAATACAGGGTAAATTAATCTGTGTGCGTTGTTGCTTCATTCTAACAGCTGACCAGGCTGCAGCTAGACTAACTTTAATACAGGTTCGTTTAGCTTGCAAACTCATTGTGTTGCGGCACAACTACCATAGTTTGACCTCTAGTCCAAAGAGCAGTTATATGTGCATACAAAACATGACTTCTTACCTTTCTTATCTTGTGAAGACAGTCTGTTGATACAATATGTGATGCCAAAGCAGCTAACGTAGCACACAGCTAGCACCGCGTCATCAATGTGCGACATACACTGACTCGCCACATTTTTCTGTTGTCTCAAACGTTTTGCATCAGCATATTAGGCTAATATTAATGGCAACAAAATAAAGGCAATTTGAATTATTAAATTAATCACGCAGGACTGTCCATGTTAGTTATACTATAGTTATTGTATTATTTGGTAAGCAGCAGACAACTTAAATGTTGTGGTTGAGTTCAGTGGTGAAAGTAACTGTACATTTACTCAAGTAGGCTACTGTACTGTTTTGAGATACTTGGACTTTACTTAGTTACTTTGCATATTTTGGGTAATAATGTGAAACATAATCAACACCTAAATAAGACTTTAGTTACACCTGGAGTAAATTCACAAGCTATCCTGCAGTAGGCTAAGTCATTACAACTACAGTAGCTGCACCACCAGCATTAAACACATTAGTGCATCAATAATTATAATCAAAACATATATTATTCTTAAATAGACCAATTTGCATTATAAATACTTTTACTTTTGGTACTTTAAGTATATTTTGACGGTAATACTTTTGTACTTTTAGTTGATTAAACTTTTGAATGCAGGACTTTTACTTGTAACAGAGTCTATTCCTACAATCTGGTACTTCTACTTTAACTTAAGTACAAGATCTGAGTACTTCTCCCACCTCTGTTTGAGTTGTACATTTTAATAAGAAATCCAATAATAATGCATCCTATATTATTAACCTTTGTATGTAAACATTCAATCTGAAAAGTAACTAGAAGGCCAACAATACCTGATAAATCATAAAACTCTGGGAATTACTATGTTTTTTACTTGAAGTAGGTGGGGTAGGCTACCATAGAGCCTATGTAGGATTAAATGATAGATCATCAAGTAGGTAGGCTACCTTGACTTTTTCTAGTAGCCTACAATACTAGTAGCCTAAATTGTAAACAGGCACTTTCCACCACTAAATTGTTGAATAGCCTATCAGGCCTGCTTTTAAGTGTGTCTATACAGTAACGGACCCGGTGTATTACTTCACTACCTCACAGGTTTATTGTATATTATGGATTTTTCCTCATAATTAAATATGCACTTTGCTACTGTTTGCACCAACTTGTTGAATGCTAAACTGCATTTAATTGAACTGGTTGTGTGCAGTGACAATACATATAATTGAGTCTTTTATCTCTTCTCTTCGTAAAAAATGAGTCACTACACATCAAAGGTTTTTTTTTGGATAGCTTCCATAGCATCCTTAGTGTTTAACATTCAACAAGATATAGCCTGTGTTATATGACGCATACAACTCCACTCCTCTGTTTTATGGCTTGCTGTCTAAGGGTTTTTAAAATTACCCTTTGCCAAATGTTTACTGAGAATTTAGTTTAATGATAATTAATTATAAATAAGACAACATCATATTTTTGTTTTGAAATCTGCCTCATCTCTGTTCTGATACTATCATATCTAACTGCAGTGGTGGAAGAAGTACTAAGATTTTAACATTTTAAAAGTATTTGTTAAAAGTTAAAGTTCCACAAGTATAAAATAACCTGAGAATACTAAGATTAAGTACAAGTACCTAAAAATTGTACTTAAGCACGCTACTTGAGTAAATGTACTATTCACCCCAGTCTAACTGACTTATTAAACCATCTTCCAAACCAACATCACACTGTGGGTGTTTCTCAATCGCGAGTAAAGCTGCTTCAGAGCCAATAGGCTTGTTTGAGACGAACTGCGGCTCTGAGGATCCCTCCTCTGTTGCTCTCCCTGAGGTTTCTCCCATTTCCCCTTTAAACTGTGGGTTTTTCTCTGGAAGATTTTCCTTGTATGATGTGAAACGTAAGGACAGAGGGTGTCGTATTGTCATACTGATATTCTGTACAAACTGTGAAGTCCACTGAGACAAATGTAACATTTGTGATATTGGGCTATATAAATAAACATTGATTGATTGATTGATAAAGAATGGACAAATGTGTTTAATCGTTAATGTCAGATATGTACTAAGTAAATACATTTGTTCCTGCTCAATATTAGATTCAACTTTATTGTTATTGTGTAGTGATCACTGATTCATACACTGGGGTTACATAATTCAATCCGGGAACTACAGGTTGGGGGTATTGTTTCCGCCCGGACACATATGTTGACGGTACCTCCGGGGTACCTACTGTGTGTCCTCCTCTTTCACTTTCTCTTCTCTTCTGCGGCTTCGACCCGACAGCACGTCAGTTTCTGCTCCCCAATAAAGAGAGATTTGCACCTCCGATGCACTGCCTCCGTCTCCCTTCTCTCGGCACTACAATTGCACAGATTACAGGTACTGAGACAACGAAATGCAGTTTAGCTTCTAACCAGGAGTGCATAAAGCAGTAAAGTGAAGTAATGTACACAATCTACAGAATAAAATATAGAATGAATTGAATGATGAATAAATAGTGAGGGGTATGAATACACTATATACACAGTAGCCTAGCCTAGTATGAACAGTGTATTGTATGAATATGGTAAGATATATAAAGTATGACAACCGTAAGCAGTGCAAGTATAGTATACAAATATATAGATATTAATTTAATGATGATAAACATTGTGGAACAATGATGAAAAATGTGAATGGAAGTGGCGACGTAAAACTGACACAAAACAACAACACACTTTTGCCGAGCCAATGGAGAGTTTCATCACCAGCACGGGGTAAAAACCACCAATGAGCGCTCAGCTCGAGATACCAGCAAGTCGTTTCCCATCAAGCATTTCGCTTCCGCAGCCCGTGGAGAGAAACTGCGCCGCCTCGCCGCGCCTCGCTCTCAAGTCTGCGGGCGTCTTTGTCCCGCGAGATTTCAACGTCTCATGTAGGCGAGCCTCCAGAGCAAGTCGGACAAAATGACTAACCATCATGCAACACACTAGCAAGACGTTGATCACAATTGCGCAGGTCTGCGCAGGTCTCGCTTGTCTCAAACAAGCCTACTATTTCAAGCATACTACGTCATCGAGTGCCGCCGAAGTACTGTTCCAATCTCCAGTATACTTGGAAATCTACCGAGCCCGGCGTACTCCGTTTGGAGAAATATCGAGTCTGCACATGAGTAGACTTCGCGGTCTTAAAATCCCCACAATGCTTTGCGCACGGACCAATTTCCCCAAATCTGTGGCGGAAGATGTAAGGCGGGGGCCTCTCATATGACGCCCACCTGCACACTTGCTAGCGTGTTCCACACTTCGTTTTCCGAATGCCAGGAAGTATTCTTGACTCGCTTCTGAAGCAAGATGCTCGGCAGACATGTGCTACCAAGCAAGCGTACTCGCGATTGAGAAACACCCTTGGGCTGCGTTTCACTTCGGTTAAATGGATTCCTTGCGTCCCTCACTTGCGTCGTTTCCCTGCGTTTAGTCCCTCCCACCAGGGAAGCATGGAGAGACGCAAGAAAACCACGAGAAGTAGGGAAATGAGTTCTAAGAGCAATGGGACGTCCTTTCCTCAAGAGCGTCACGTGAAGCGACATCCGTTTGTGATGACGCTGCACAGCTGATCGTCTGACAGCAGCCAGCTCTGTCCCCGTTGTTTTCACAAACACCCCCGCCTCTGTTAGTACACATTTACTGACACAAACATTTGTATCATCTGTTGTAAACCCAAATAAATAAAATCAAATAAGAACTAATTCTCAAAAAAGATAAACGCCATTCTTAAAATGTATAAACGAACATTAGTTTGATTAATATTGATTAGAGTGCACAATAGAAATAAAATAATTGAGAGAAGAAAAAGAGATATGTTATCTATCAAAACCCAGTTAGATTAACATTCATTGGACTGCACACTTTGTTTGTTTGTGTGGATATGTAGCAAATTAACATTTTAAATAGCACTTAATGACTGACTGAATGGAAATGACAATAAATAAATAAAATGATTTTTGACCACTTTGTTGTTCAGATATATCACATATTTGTAACTGAATGATGCATTAATTGAAACAAAACACAGTATGAACTGAGGAGTGAGTCCCGTGAGGTTCATGTGTTTTCTTCACTCCGCTGGGAAACTGCTCTCATGTCAAGAAGCATCAGATCAGTGCATGCGCTGCATCGTCCAATCAGTGAGCGATACACAGTAAGGGGGCGGGGCGAGTGTCTGAGGATTTCATCGAAGGATGGTCTGGTGGTTCCTCGATTATAGCTCCTCCATTATCGCTCCTCGCTCCTCGCTCCTCGGTCCTCCGGCAAAAATAAGGCCATTGGGACGCTACTCAAGATGGCGCAGACAAATCAACTTCCGGTGAGACCGAGACCGAGGAGCGAGGAAATGAAAAATAAGAGAAGTGAAACGCAGCCTTGGAAATCTACCGAGCCCGGCGTACTCCGTTTGGAGAAATATCGAGGCTGCACATGAGTAGACTCCGCGGTCTTAAAATCCCCACAATGCTTTGCGCACGGACCAATTTCCCCAAATCTGTGGCGGAAGATGTAAGGCGGAGCCTCTCATATGACGCACACCTGCACACTTGCTAGCGTGTTCCACACTTCGTTTTTCCGAATGCCAGGAAGTATTCTTGACTCGCTTCTGAAGCAAGATGCTCGGCAGACATGTGCTACCAAGCAAGCGTACTCGCGATTGAGAAACACCCTCTATGTTCGACCCAGTCTCACGGCATTTTGTGTTATAGTCACGACATTTAATCTATTGATTCGTGATCACCAACACGATTTTCCCCTTTTTTTCGTGTCACACAGAACGATTTTAAAAGCAATGTATTTCTATCTATTATATATAAATTTTTTATTTTTTTTTTATTTATTCTATTTATATACAGTCTATGATTTCTATTGGTAGTATGTTTCGTGCCTGCAACACGTCTTTTTGTCCGGTCGGGTCTTGGAAGACCGGAAGCTGTGTGGTTCATAAAAACATTTTCTTGCTCAATATCAAGCCACGATTATTGTTTTTATTTTAAATTGTATAATGTCGGACTTTTTTTGCCGTCCGTGGGGAAAATAAATGGGGCTCAGAGCCTCAGAATACTGAAATCTGTATTTTCTAAATC